GGCACGTTCTTAAACAGGCTATATCTTTACCACTTGAGACACTGTTATATCTTGGAGGTCTACCAAGAAAATACTAGTTGCGACTTCTTCGAACCATGCTGAGATTCTCACCCTGCATGAAGCATCGCGTGAGTGCCTTTGGTTGAGAATAGTCATGGAACATATTCAAAGCACTAGTGGTCTTACCTCTATCGTTGAGCTTCATACGATGATTTTTGAAGACAATGCAGCATGTATCGAACAGTTAAAGAAGAGATACATCAAGGGAGACAACACCAAACACATAGCGCTGAAATTCTTTTATTCTCACCAGTAACAACAACATCAGAACATTAAAGTCAAGCAAATCTGTTCCCAGGACAACCTGGCCGATCTCTTCACCAAGTTATTGCCCAAGTCTACTTTTCAGAAGCTCGTCTAAGAAATCAGTATACGTTAATTATCTGAGTTGAATTGCTTGTAGTTCTCTTATTTGGAAGTTATGTCTAACTCAGGGGGAGTATCCAGAAGCATACTCACCTGATCTTAATGTACTTTTTTTTCCTCGATTAGGAGCATTTTTTCCATTGGGTTTTTGCTACCTAACGAGGTTTTAATGTAGCACCCATCCTGGGCTCCGTTGAGTTCACTACTTTCGTTCTACTTGATGTTTGTTTTAGACATTATGCATACTTCTCACTTTTTTCCTTAGTCTATGGGTTTTTACCTACCTTAGGTTTCACCATAGTGAGATTTTGTGAGTTTTACTACCCAGACATACTTTCTTTTAAATTGGAGACTCGTATTCACCTGTTGTGTTGACTTCATCAATTGGTTTACCTTATCTGCTGAAGATCTGATGCGATGTTTTGTTTGAGTATTTACACACTCAAGGGGGAGTGTTGCAGTCCTATTAGTTTAGAAATGTGATTATGTAAATCCTAGTATATGTAGGGATATCTTGGAATATTCCTTTTAGTAGTTAATATCCTATTAGAGTTGTAATCCTAAAAGGGTAAGGATTTAACCTACCTTACTACTATAAATAAAGGCATAATGGGGTGATACAACACATATCTTAGAATTACATCTCTCTCTTGCCGCCGACCATTTCCCTCTCTAGTCCTAAATACAGTTTAGTAAATTAGGCCTACAACAATTTTTACCATATATTCGTATCACTATTTTATATCATCAAGAAAATAACTTGGACTATTAGGCAATCAAATTTCCCTACCTCCCCAAAACCCCTCCAGCCTTACCCAATCAACTAGCTCCAAGGGGTCTCGTCTCCACACACAAGCTCAAGTCACCTAGCCCACTCACTGAGTGGATCTAACGTTTGCCTGGTGTCAACCACATGAAATTCATTTTTTCGGCAAGGCGTGTGCGTTATACGCGCAAATTTTGGCGATTAAGCCGACATAAATACAAAGTTGGGGACTGCACTGCAGGTGTGCTCAGCTGATTACGGGTAGAGGCAACATGGCTTTGTTTAGGCCCTTGGATTTCCAAAGGCTATATTTGTAGGCCGTTTTATTTCTAATGGTTAAAAAAATTTTGAATTTAAAAAATAACGGCTAGTGCACGTGGCAAATTCTGGGCTGTTAGATATTTTGACCAACGGTCCATATTTTTCGGGCTTAAAATAAAATTTTTATTTTTATAAGGGTTTTTCCTTGAAAGAACAAACTTAATCAAAAAAGAAAGGAAAAATAAGAATAAAAAAAAATCCTATTAAGCCAATTTCATTGGCTTCCATAATTTGAACATGAACATTAGCACAATCAAACATCCACACCAAAAAGAATAATAAAGAAAAACATTAACAAAACTTGAAAAGAAGAAAAAAAGAAAGTTATATTATTCAACCATTCTCCAGTAACACATTCAAAACATTGAGTCAATTTGAATTAAAACTCAATGTTTTTACCCTATCGTGAGCATGTGGTATGAGTTAAGGAAGTGGGGGAGTGAGCAATACTACTAGACTGTAGCAAGAGCATTCCAATGGGAACTTTATCCTTCATGATGCTACCATATTTGAAGCCCTAACGAGAAATTTCATCTCCAATGGGCAGGAAAATGGGGCTATATCCACCACAAGGGCTATCAACTTCTTTTCTTGGATAGCAAAAAGTTAGGCTACATCTAGCCCCAAAAATTAGTGGGACCCACATAAAAAGGGAGCCTATACTTATTTTTTTTTGTTATTTTTAATTCAAAAATGGAGCCCACCATGTATCATAAGATGCAACAGCTTCAAGGACAATGGTTGGGTGTCCTTTGTGTCCAGTATAAGCACCATGGTATGCTACTGGACATTTGATCCAATCCCAATGCATGCAATCTAGGCTCCCAAGCATACCAGGAAACCCTCGTTTCTTTGTTTTTCTCAAAAGTCTTTGCAAGTTACCTTTCGTCGGTTTACGAAGATATTCTGGTCCATAGACAACATTGATGGCATGACAGAACTTCTTGCAAGACTCTAAACATGTTGTCTTTGATTTCAGAGAATGTGCCAATTAGAGAAATAAACCAACTGATGAGATTGAGATAAGATAATTCAATCCAATGGTTGTCATGAAGTAAATCTTATCTTGTCTGATTGCATAGAGCAAACAAATGGATGAGATTAAGATGAAAGAACCTAATCCGACAATACATAAGTGAAGAAATCTAACTTTGTTAGAATTTGATTTTTTTTTTAAGGTTTGAATGTTCATTAAAAAAAATGTAAGATAACATGTCTAAAAATCAATTTAAGAAAAATTAAGATAAAAATAACTTTATTGCATAATCAAATTATTACATAAATAAATATATAGCTCTATATAGAGCCCGAAAGGTACATAGCCCCTCATTAAGAGAGATTCTATTATAAAGCCCCAAAGATTCTTTGGAGCTCTAAAATGAGCTATTAGCTATATCCATCACTTTTTCAGCTCCATATAGAGCCCGGATGCTCTAAGAGTCTAGAAATCCTAAGGAAATAAGGATTCGTAATCCTACTTGTTTACGTTAATATGTTTCCATTTATTATTATTTCTGAATCCTGGTTTCATTTGGAAATATGATCCTAACCTAACAAGGAAACACGCGCATATAAGTGGTCTATATAAACGCTATATGCCTGCCTCAAGTATTTCAGTTTTATCTATTGCTTCATTCGCCTTCGGAAGAACTACAGTAGCTCAAACACTACTAATTCGATCGTGTGTTAATTAGTTTCTGGTTAATTTTCTTTATTTCTCTTCGTGATCCACCTATGGAAGCTGTAAGTGATCGGCAAGTGGTGGGATACCATTGCGAATCGAAGCAGGCAGAGGTTTTTGAACCTGATGACGAATTGCCATGGACCCAATTCTTGCTGGGTGTCGATGCCAGAATATTGACAAGTCAGCCTGCCTTGCATTCCGAGGACGACGACGACTACGATTCACTTCCAGTAGAAGAAACCTACTTCGACGAACTCGAACTCGATTTGTTGATGGATGAAGACAAGTCAAGGGCTGCCCTAGCTGAGGCCCTGGTTTCTATCCTGCATGTCCCTCCTCAGATTTGCGACTCCGTGGTGGATAAAATAGTACAAGATTTCCGAGTCGCAGAAACTGATTCTCGACCTTTCAGTGATCGCATGCTTGTTCACATGCCAGTGTCCATCGTTGTTCTTGTCGATGAATTTGGGAGCCTGGACACGGATGACCCTAAATTTGTGCCTGCAAGTAAGTCATCGATCGAGAAGCTGGAAAGGGTGAGAGTGGAAGTATCAGCGGATTGTTCAATTTGCATGGAGGAGATGGAGGTTGGTTCGGAAGCAATCCCCATGCCGTGCTCGCGCTCGCATCTTTACCACGACGATTGCATTATCGAGTGGTTGAAGAAAAGTAGGGTTTGCCCACTGTGCCGCTTCGCCATGCCTCCCGAAATAACAACACAAAATTAAGTGACTAATTTGACCAATGAGGGCTTTTGCTTCACGATTCGCTCAACATTAATTGTTTTGTTTTGATGATATGTATTAATCCATTTGTTAGTTTTTGTAATTAATGTAAAAGTTTGATCAGTTACTTGTTTCTTGAGTCTACAATATGGAATTAAAATTCTTTCTCTTATCTTTTATGGAATGGTAGCTATATGTTCTTTGTCCAATCGGATTCAAGAAAAGGAAGATAGGATATGATCCAAAAAGATAAAAAGAAATCAAGCCGACAAAAACAAAAATCAAACATGAAACAGTGTCATGTCGCTCAACAAATACGTTTATGTGACTGATTTAGGTTTTGTTCCTTATTTTAGATTTTGTGTTATTCCTTTAGTACTCTATCATATAAGCTTCGAGCTACCAGTCTGCTTGACTATGATTACGGACGAGTGAAATTCCTCATAATTTCTCTGGTTTAAAAAATAATGGATAATCGTGGTATGCCACCAGTTATCTTTTTTTTTTTTTAAATAAAAAAGAACTCCATCATAGATGGAAGTTTAGATTAAGAGCCGCAACTCCACCATTAAGGAAACATTTATGTTTAGAGAGATTATTACTTCAGGAACAAAATATATGTATGCATCATAAATTGTACGTGATTTAACTCCAACATTTGTATGGGTAAATTGAGAAATGAAAAGTCTGCAATTAACTAAACGCATCTCTCAGTACTATGGTCTGGTAGTATTCCTTTTCACTTGGAAGTGAGATGCCTTAGATTCGAACTCCACATCCCCTTAATGTAAAAATATCGATGTACTAAAAAAACTAAAAGCAAACACAACTAGTATTGGCTACTTTGGTATTGGCGTAGCTCTTTTCATATACCCAGAACATAAGTCGGTACAACATGTATCATGATATAAGTGAATAAATGATATAGTTTTCAGTTTTTTTCACCTGATTCTGATACGTGAGTAATCTTGTGTTCCAAGTACACTAAAAAATTTCTCAGGTTGAAGGGTTTTAAACCCTGGACTTGACCTACTCTTGTAAATTGTAAATTTAACAGTGAATCATAATATTTGGAGGCTATATATTTAAGAACAATGTTAATCAATTAATTATGTAAGAAACTAGAATTTTTGCGATAAAAATAAATAAATAAAAATCCCAACGTCTTCGCGTCTTGCTTTTTCGTACCCCAAGACTCTCTCCATCCTATTCCTTTTTCCTACCCCAACCCCAACTAAGACCCTTTGAATTCTACAGATATCCCACACATTATACTGCACATTCTTTCTGCTGATGTTGGTCACTGCGGAGGAGACCTGGGAGGTTCGGGGCGACGTTTACTGCAGCACGCGGCTGCTCGGCATTTCCGAAATCCCCCAAATGGAGGACGACTTGAAATCCAAGTTGTGGTTGGACGTTAAGGCCAATGTTACGGTGATGGTGCTGCCGAGGATCTTAGAGGACGAAGAGGATTTGGAGAACCACTACAAAGTCATGCTTTTAGAAGATATTGATCAAATGGGGCAGAGCATCGACAGCATTGATTTTGAGGACAAACTTGAGATTGACCTAGACAAGACTGCCATGTCGCCGGCTGCTTCCAAAGCCGTCTCTCGCGTGCTTTCTGGCCTGATCAACGTCCCCTTGCGGACTCTTTTGTCCGCGGCCGATACAATCTTGTGTGAGGCCCTACGTGCTATGGCAAGGGGTACCAGTCTTGTGCACATGGAGGCACTCATCAAAGTTGAAGTGGTTGAGGAGTCGGATGATGATGGTATGAACGTAGAGCCAGCGTTTGCACCTGCAACAAAATCTTCCATTGACAAGTTGGAGAGGGTGAGAGTGGAAACTTCATCGCCACCAGGGGTTTGCTGATCTATATGTATTGCGGAGCTTGGGGTGGGTACTGAAGGACTTCGCAAGCCGTGTTTGCATCTTTACCACGAGAGCTGCATCGTTGAATGGCTGGAGACGAGCAGGTTCTGCTCGTCGTGCCGCCTCTCCATGCCCGACGATCTACGACAATGATATGGATCTAACGAAGACTTATTGATCTGGTTGGTTATCTCATTCTTTTTGTTAACCAATCTGTCGAAATTTGATGTATTCACTTGTTAATTTGTGTCATAATATATCCTCCCCTATTGTTTCTGAACGGGACTTGGCTGCTAAAGATTCAGCAACAACTACTAATAACCAATCACGATTGGACACGTGTTCAAGTTATGAATTTTTTAATCATAACTTGAACACATGTCCAGCCGTGATTGGTGATCAGCAGGGGATGCTGCTGATTCTTTCAGCAGCCAAGTTCTATCCATTGTTTCTTTAGTCCAACTCTCAGTTGGTTATACAAATTCTCCTACTGAAAACATTGCTGAATTACTGGGGGAAAATGGTGAAAAATGGAACGATAGGGACTTAATGTTAAATCGGGCCGAACTACAAGGACTAAATTGCAATTTGTCCTATAAAAATTTGACAACATAATTTGACCTCAAAAGGACTTTACATATTTAACAACAAAATTCATGTTTAAGGAACTCGCTGTTCCTGCGGACCTAGGGCTTAACAGTAATGCAGTGCACATAATCATCCCTACAACCAACAAAAATTCTGCCTCCAATCATCACAGGTGAAGAGAATACGTCTCCTCCGAGGTCCAGCCTTGCAAATTCCTCAATATCCATTCGTTGATTTGCAACTTTGGCAGCACCCGAGTTAACCCGGAGCAAGAACACGCTTCCTGAGCTGGAACAGACACAAACCAACCTGGAAAAGGTTGTGGATAGATATGAAAATGATCACTTAATGTTCAAGTTATTTAAAGTCTTCTGCAGTTATTTACCTGTCCGGCAAGTTAGGCGGATCAGATGCCAAGCACAAGTGCTCATCCACATAAGCGGATGAAGTAATCGGATCCTTAACATTGTATTCCCAAAGTAAATCTCCAGTTTCCTACAGCAAACAAAGCAGTGATGAACGTGCAGTACAATATATTGAATATGAACAAATTATGCTCTTTCTTTTACAGGATGTTAGGAAATAGGGTGAATCCAGTATAGTTAAGCAATCAGTACCGATCCGTTTTCCAAACTATTTTTCTGAATAAAATTAAAACCAGCAAGTTTTGCAAATTCAGAAGAGTGAATGCAAACTGCCTATCAGCCCTATCAGATTCTATTAAAAGAACAAAATGGACAAATTCCAATTTGCTCGTGTTTTTATGCCAAACAGTAAAAACAGCTTGTAGTTCATGCGAGCCATTAAATTTGAAATCCAATTAAAACTGTGTATTAGGAACACTACCAGACTCAAACTGAGACAAAGTAATGTAACTAGATTGTCGTAAACGAGTAGTATTACCAGAAATTATTTATTACAAAAAGGTTGCTTAGAACAGATAAAATTCTTCCATTCTTTAGGAGCAATAAAATATTACTCGCATTTGCCTAATCGAGCAGAACGCCACTCGGTGCTCATCCTACAACTGGCCCCACCTATAGTTATAGTGTTGAACACACATAAGTACAGGTTTTGTTGTCCTTACAAAGATTGTCAAAGACCGGGGCTTTGCACTTCACGACCCTATCCGAGTATGTGTTTGGTGCAACTTTTATGGTTAAGCCACAGCATAAGATTCGATATTGGAAATTCAATCATTACAGAACAGAAAAGCTATCAGTAGTTATGCCAAAATTACTAAAAGCATGCAGATTTTCATCCAAACATATACTGCACTTTACCAGTTTAAGTGAGTAGATGCTTCCGTCTCTAGAACATACGAGTACCTACAGAATAACCAAGACAAAACAATCTTTAAATGAACAATAGGTTATTCAATACGAACTAGGCTAATTCCATATGCAGTGAGGGCAGGGACATCATGAATTAACATGTAAAAACAACAAAAGACAGAAAATGACTGAAATTGTTAATCAGATTTTGAATAAAAAGGTCTAGCCCTACACAGCATATCCAAACACTACAGCAACAATAAAACGTAAACATGCGGTTAATATTTACCCTCACTCCTATGTTACTTACATTCACTTAAGAATTAAGCGAACATTCTTACGCTATCCGGATGGGGCAAATTATAACGACAATTAGCTTATTTGAACAGGACCTCAACCCTAGGGTTTTAATCTCTCTATTTGGTAGTTACAAAATTACAATCACAAGGTGTAACGTAATCTTCTGACAACCAAAGTCGAAGAGTATAACTTTTGTGCCATATGAGAATGTTTAGCAGACTCAAGAAATGATAGATACTTTATGATTTCGGAACAGAACATTAACTCCATAGTATATGCATACCACACATACATTATATACGTATATGTATACAGGTATTTATACCTGCAAAGGAAGATCAGAAGATATGCAGGCTCCAGCAAATATAGGCCCAGCAGTTCGGTACTGTAAAAAAATATTAAAAAAAAAAAAAAAAAACAGGATCAAGAATTGCAACTCAAGCAAAACATACATGTTAGAGGACTATAAGTCTAGAACACATTGACAAAGAACTGCATCACTGTACATCCCTGTCCTTATCTAACAGAGAACTTCAACCGGGTGCAAATGTTTGGAGACGACCAAACACAGAATTAAAACACGCTATTTCAGATATTCATGAGTGCTATTTCTAACGAGTCATAGTAATGCATGGGATGGAATGTAGAGTTCAACCAAAAAAATATGAAAATTGGAAGTTTAAAAATTTCAGTATGTACAGGTATAATATAACATAAGAAAAAATACAGGTATAAAGCGAGATATATTTTTTATTCCAAGTCAATTTCACATTAAAAAAATAAATTTAAAAAAAATAACCAAGCAAAAAGGATAGAATGTCTTGGGATCAGAAAGGTTTCTGTCATGCAATATAACATGGGTAGTACTACTATCCACACACCCATTTTTACCTCTCACAACCACTCTCAATTTCTGGCTATTAGATCAAATGAATTGAAGAACTATGGACAAAAATTAACAAAGGTGTGTGCGAGGTAACACACCAGAACAGCACTACCCTATAATATTATGAAAAAAAAAAAATCCATATGGGTATTAAAAGCGTAATAAAATTGTACCCTCCAAATAACAGATCCACTAGTATCCAAGGCAAGCACCTGACCGTCCACCAAGCAACATATAACTGTAGTTAAGAAAAAAACAAAAGAAATGTAAAACATAATAACAACCAATTCCAACGATAAAATGAGACCAACTTTCATAAATGAAAAATGATGAATACATATAACCAAACGTCAAATGAACTGCACATACTATTTCCGTTCAGAGAATTGATGGCAAGAGACCCAAACACTGGAGCTTCTAACTCATGCCGCCACATACTAGAATATGGGAGTGCCTGAAATGTGAGTAGATTACCCAAAACAATAATCAGCTTGCAGGCCAAAAAATATGCCACTTGAATAAATCAGAACACGTTTACTTCTTTTACCAAAGAAGGTTAGTTGGGATGAAACAAGCACAATAGCATAAATATGAGAACCAATAATAGTTGAACATAAAATTTGTTCTAAAAATGGATGAACTTTTGGGCAAAATATCACTCAGAGACTAAGACATTGAAATCCTGTCACCATGTATTAGTAATGACAATACATGATATGATGCAAGCGCATCATCAGATAAGTTCTAACTCTAGGTATTAATTGGGCCAATTGAAGGAACTGGCATGGTAGACCACTAGGTCTACCAGTTGTCCCCAAAGGGGAAGACATTGGGGCCACCTTTTCCTCCTATTGGTTTTCTTTTTCTTCTAATCCTACTCATTTTATTCTCATTATGTTGAACACTTTATAGTGTCCATTTACTTTGAGAAAAAAAATGACATAGAAACAATCATAGCCCTGAAGGCAGTGGCACCAATTACTATTGATGTAGGTAATTGTCATATAGGGCTATTTAATATGAGGAGTAAAGGTAACATTGAAGCTAATAATCATGCATTTGAAGCAATATTCTACGTTCTGAAGCTTTGTTTAGGTATACAAACAAGTTTTCAACCTCATAGTTTTCTTTGAAGATATTTCAATTCTCTGATTCAGCATGCTCAAGTCTGCTCACAAACACAACATTCACCCCTTAAAAGGTATAACAATAACTATAAGATAAGCCATGAAATTTTGTATACCATTATTGATATAGCTGTCATTCGGCCACTCGTAGAAGCCACATAAAGTATGTTATTGGTCTGAAAGAAAGATTAGTACAAGAAAATCAAATTTACTGACATGTACACAAAATATCACAGTCTACTGTCTGACAAGAGTACAACTATTTACTGGGAGTGGCCAGTTATATTCATCATAAGTCTATACAGCCGATATTCGAACATACACCCAAAAGAAAAATAAAAATTCCCATAAGTCCAGTTTTTCCACCCGATCATCTGAAAACCTCTTATTTCTTTCCAACCAAACAACCCCTGAAAAGTCTCCACCAGCAAGAAATAACAATTCCAAGCACAAATCCCACTAATCCAAGTAAATTCAACAATCAAGCCAAATTTCCGTTCTGAAGGGGCAATTCAGAAAGAAAAGAACAAAATAGAATCAACTAAAACAAAATATGATCAGCACTCTACCCTCCCATTTACACAAAACATACAAATGTGGACATGGACATGCATGCATCCAGTTATTTTTTTCTGGAGCATGTTACAAGATTTATTATCCCATGGGCCACCAATCAAGGGCTGACTTTTACTTTCATATGGAAAAACTTGATCAAAACAATTACTTATCAAATATGAAAATAAATAAATAAATCCAAAAGCAAGACTAGGACATAATCGTTAATCAAACCGACCAAGATTCATGAAACAAAACTGAATTGCAGGAAACGAGAGAGAGAGAGAGAGAGAGAGAGAGAGAGAGAGAGAGAGAGGTCGCTTAAAATTTCAAATACATATTTAAACATCTGCAAATAAACCAAGCAAACTGCAGTAAGAGAGAGAGATAGAGAGAGGTCATTTAAAATTTCAAAAACATATTTAAACATCTGCAAATAAAACAAGCAAACTGCAGTAAAATTTCCCTGGAGAAGAATTAACAATTTACTTATGAATAATAGATTCCAAAATTGACCTCATCAATTACAGGTGACCCACAGATGCTCCCACCACATGGAAGTTGATATACACAGCAATGATTTTTGTAATCAAGAGCATATAAGTTATGGTCATATGATCCACACCTGCAGAAATTTTGTTATAGATCAATCTCTGTTTTGTTTTCCCTCTTCCAACATAATAGAAACAAACACAAAGTCAGAGTACGATCTGTAAATAACGTAGTAAACAGAAACTTTTCACCACTCAAAACAAGTCTTAAAATCACAATCATCCCTTTTCTTTTGGTTGCTTCACAAATAGAGTTTGCAGGGAGAACTCTATATGCAACCAAATATTTATTCTACCCAAAATGTTGCAGACTAGACATAAATTCACAGTTCCTCAGTTCTTCTACATCAGTCTGGTTGTTTACATGAACAGTTCACTTTGTGAGTCCAATGTATATAGTAATGCTTTTATAAAAAGGATTTCCAAGCATGAATAAAACAGAACATGAAAAAAATTGTCTTCTGATTCCATGCATTATAAATGGAATAGTTAGTCTGTGGACACAATTGATCCAAGAAATACAATGTTCAGTTTATTGGAATTAAAAAGCAGAAATGTTACCAGATCAATTGTCTCTGACTGTCTATGACGGGCTGTGACTTTACCTTCATAATGAAAATACGTCAACCGTAAGAGAAGATAAAGAATGAAAATGGATCAAAATGCAAATGAAATGGGGATTAGAAATAAATATAAAACAACAAAACAACATCAACAACAGGTTAGAACAACCCTACCTCACCAGATGTTTGGAAAGTCCAGCAGATGTTACCAGTCAAAGAATCAAGGAAATATATTTTCCCTCTATAGCATCCAACTACAACCTAATGAAATACCCCATCTGAGAATCATCAACATGTCCCATGGAGCTAATCTACAGATGATTTATGAAGTTAAAAGCACACAAAGTTATGTCAAATTAAACCTGTGTAAAGTCATCAAGAGTTGCTGCTGAACATTCCACGCGTCCTTCTAGTTGTGCCTCCCACTGGACAGAACCACTAGAGAATAATATACTCATAGCATATTATGTAAACATCCCGTCTCAAATGAAGGATATGACTGTTAATACTGACAAAGAATAGAAAGATTCCAATGCACTACTAAAGATGAGCAAATATCAAATCTATCATGTGGTGAATAAAACAAGAAAATGCCTCCAGAATTCTCTAAGAACTATGCCAATTATATTTTGCATTCAGAAACAATGATATGTGCCTTACCTTCTGGCATTAACACACAGAAATTTTTGCGAGTGTGATCCAATAAATAAGTATATATCCTGATCTTTATGAACAATAAGTGGTGATGCATCAACACAGGATCCCATGTAAACTTTCCACGATTCTTGCATATTAACTTTTCTTCTTGGGACCATCGCAGAACAGGTTGCTTGATACATATCTTTCACCCTGGACCCACCTTCATGGACAACTTTGTTGCACCGGCTGAAAGAACATGACACATGTATTGCCCCAGAATTCCATGGATACCAATCTGATGGACCAGTAGCACCTGAAGCAACATTTGAATCAACTTTCCAGCGTTTGGAGATAATTGCATCATCTTCATTTCTTTCAGAAAGAGTTCTTAGAAATCTCCTCTGCCCGTCAACATTTACTGCATTGGGAGTCTCAGAGTGGACATGATAAATGCTCTGTTTATCCCCTTCCAGACTCATCTTCGATCTAGAATCTCTGCTAACATTCATATTGAAAGATCCTTTTCTCTCCAGAAGAGCAGCACAAAGCTTAGATGGAGTTGGGAAGGAATATATCAGTTGCATATCAACTCCTATATTATTAGAAAGATGGGCAGCAGCAATTGAATCTCCACCCATCTTAAAGAAATCATCATCATCAGAAACCTCATCAGCCCTTAAAACATCACTAAAGGCCTGTCAAGAAGGAAACAAATTACTATGAATTTATAGATAATAAAAAATTAACCTGAGTTGAGGAAACAAATAGTCAGTGCAAATTTTTACATAATCAAAATTCAAAGTAAGAGATTAATTGTCGTCCTCCAAGTGATTGAGATAACAAATAAATTGTTACTCGAAAGCAATTGTGGGAAACTTGTAGGATGATAAATGATCTTTTTATTTGTTAACATTTTTGCATTTCAGAACATACACCAGTTTTCCAGAACTCGGTGACACGCCACTACATAATGGGCTAGATTTAAGTTTCAAAAACCTCAACAAAAACTCAGCCCAAGTAAAAGGGCAAGTGGCAGGGAGGAACAAACGAAGTCCCATTCCAGCTTAGGAAAATATGTTAATGTGGCTAAGAACCATGCTCAGCTCAAGTTAGCATTTATTATCTCCCATAATGATATTCATTAAAAATTAAGAACATCATGAATGTTAGTAATAATAGTGCTGACCAAAGTGAGAATTTAATCAATAAAAACGACAGCAAACATTGATAGAAAATTGAAACACTATGGAGATTTATCCCTAATTTGAAAACTTAAGCCAAGATTCCAGACTCAAGCCCGTGATATGAGACCCTCCCCTGCATGCACCCCGTTATCCATAAGAATAACTTCCACTAGTCGATGCAGAGATCAATGGTAAATAAAAAAAGGACAAATCCGAGTAAACATAAGTGTAATTTAGCAAATGACTGGAAAAAGAATGAGTTGGTCATTTTATGAGGGTAAAGAGCTAACCCTTTTAATTACTTGCAGTAGATTGTGGCTCCCAACATCACCAATCCCATCTCGGACATGATTTGCAAGAAATACTGATTCAGCCAACAACTCATAGTCAATTTTTCCACTAGAAGACACAGGAAATGATTCACTGATAACAATGTGGCCAGGAATCATTACTGATGGAAGTATGTCAGCCATCCAACTTTTGATGGAAGATCTAAGTATCTCACTGGGTCTTCCTTCTCTTAATATTACAAAAGCTACAAGTGACATGAGTTCCCCTTGAACTTTATGAAAAATCACAGCAGCATCCTTTACATCTGGATGTCCCCTCAATGTATCTTCAATTTCCTCTAAAGCAATACGCTGCCCATTGTACTTAATAGTACGGTCTTTTCTACCCAAGAACACCAAGTCACCACTAGGAAGCTGTTTGGCAAAATCACCAGTCCGAAAATAAGATTGACTTCTGTGCCCATTTACAGAACTGCAACAAGCAGAATCTTGAAGCACGTTTACAGTGTCCAAAGGTGTAAATGTAGAGTCAGAATAGTATCCAGAAGAATTGCATACACCAGCAACACAAATTTCCCCCTCACTGGATACACCATCGCCATCAACAAGCACAATATCACAATTAACAATAGGCATGCCAATTGGAACACTTGCTAGTGTGTCTGTCTCCAAAGGAAAAATCATTGGCAACCTCTTGCAATCAAAATATGTACAATCACCAGAAACCTAAAATTTAACAATTTACACGTTAGCACTTTTTAAAAAATTGATGTATTATCCTTTGGGAGTGAAAATCAAAGTAGCAGTTATCTCATGATGAAGTACATCACTATAAGTGATACTATGAAATGACTAATAACAGCTTTGTCACTCCTACGCTATGACAAGCTCGACAGAAGGCCAGAATTGATCATGGTGCATTTATTAAAGAGAAGATATGCTGTTTCTTCAAAATAAATGAAAAAAGAGAGAGATCTTTTTTTTTGCTCTCTTGATTAATGAGCCCACTTCAGAGTTGTCACGGTACTTAAGATAATAAACCTGGCAATATCCAACCTATATGATGGTCATGTGTTGCAAATAAAATAACACAAGATTTATCAGTAAAAATCTGAATGGCTTAAAACGGAATTGAAAATCATTTCATATTCATCCAAACAGGCAATATTATTTGATCTGATATGTTGGAGACCTAATCGAACGAATAGAGATCAATTCAAGGGAAGTTCTAAACTCTAACCTCAGTACTCCCATACAAATTCAAGATAGAGGTCCTGGGTAATATCTTGGAGAGCATCTCCCATAATGATAAAGGCAGAACTTCACCGCTGAGCACTAACAAATCCAAAGAAGTTGGAAGCCGCTCCTCCTCTCGACCTTGCAAAGAAGGAAGGATAGTTCGCATAAGTGATGGCACAGCAGTAAGCCTACTGACAGAGTAAGCCTACAAGAAAACTCCACGTTTAGAAAAAAACAATGATAATAATCAACTTATAGTAACACTAATGGTATATGTGACTTATTTCGGCAAAATGTAAACATCGAAAATGATTAACTGTTCAGCTTATGAAATTTCTTTTTGGTTTGCATAATCAGTACACATATTAGAAATCGTAGATCAAATAGTTCGTCCCACATTGCATAAACGGATACCAAGAGGAATCGAGTTTTTATTCCGTTATCCTTTTCCAGCCTGACGATTTTTTGGATAAGTTGAGCACAACGCATGACGATTACGGCATTAGAGGTCAAAAAACAATTGATCGTTAAGGTTACTTAATTCTATCAAATTAATAATGCTGTATTTTCACAATGTCACATTCCTAGATCAAGATTTTAATCTGAGCTAAACACAGTAACGAAGCACGAACGAAAGAAAGGCAGTGTACCTGTATGAAATCCAGAATCGAAATCACATTTCGCTTAAGGTGATCGAAAGGAGGTATGACCAAGGTACAACCAGTGAGAATTGCGCTGAGAAATTCCTGCAGGTGATCAACAAAGCTTATTCCGGTCTTGAATAACAAAACCTCATCACCAAACAGTGGATACAGCTCCTGCATCCACCGGAACCGGTTCAAAAGTCCCTCCTCAGATCCACACACGCCTTTCGGCTTCCCGGTCGAACCGGAAGTGTACATCAAATAACACCACAACCTCTCTTTCCCACCACTCTCACATTTGCACGCCCAATCAATTACTCCATTTCTACACTCCTCAACCTCTTCCATTGAAAACCACAAAACACTGCGTTTGCAGGTCTCCGGTAGCCAATTCGAGTCCGATTCGAATCCAAACGGCGTCTTACTGGCGACGATTAGGTCGACGTCGGCCGAGGAAATTACCGAAAGTAACCTCTGTTTGGGCCAGGAAGGGTCCAGAGGCAGAAACGCCTCGCCGCATCGCAAAACTGACAGTACGGACACTATGTATTCCGCCGACGGCGGCATGTATATGCCGAAGATTCTTGGGCCGAGCTTCTTGTAACTGCCGGGAGGTTGAGGGGCGGAGAGGAGCTGGGAGGTGAGGGAATTGACGGCTGAGGAGAGGCGGGAGTACGTGAAGGAGTGGTCGCCGTCGTAGAGGAGTTGTTGTCGGACGGGAGCGGGAGCAGCATCGTCGGAAATGGAGAAGCGGGGACGGGGTTGGCGGGAGAGGAGGGCACCGCCGGAGGCGTGTATGACGGCGATTTTGTCGGTGTTGGTGGAGGCTGCCGTGGAGAACTCGCGGGAAAGGCAGCAATGGGTATTTGATCTTGTCGCTTGGGATTTCGGGGCATCATTTCTCGGCATCTCTCGCTGGAGGGTGCAGATTAGAACCCGTGCGTGTTCGAGAATGTGATTAGAGTTGGTTTGGGAAGGTACATTTGAACGATCCTCTCCCAAGCAAAGGACAAGGATTCTGCTGATCAAATGTTGAAATTTTATTTAATGATTACAATTATTTTTTAGAAAGTTTTTTTGTTTGTAGCTATTAGATAAAATTTTAACGGCTTAATGTATTTGGTCAGAATCCTCACTCTTTACTCAAAAGAGGATCTTGATAGAAAATGTATTTTGAAAAAATATTTTTGGGTTTAAAAGCACAAATTAAATTTTTTTTGTGTAGATTTTATTATTAAGGGAAGTGAGGGTTTAACACTATTAGGATAACATTTAATATTATGATTTAGTAATATTTTTCTTCATTTCAGCTTGTGATTTGATGAGTTGGGTTCAAGGCACGATTTGGGCCTGAGAAAAGCTTTTGGTTTATCGAAGGACGAAATAGCCCAGTATGGCGAAAGCTGTTTGGGCTGACCCAAGAATGATGATTAGTGATGTGGCGGTTGAGGAGGTTAGGTTTGACATGGAGTTCGTAGTACTCACTTGAAACTCAAATGCGAAGGATTGTTTCAGCTTATAAAACTTTTTGCTTTCTCTCTTTCCTTTTCTCTCTCGACTCAAACAAGGATGAGGGTGTATTTCTTTTTATTATTTTTTTTAACAAATAGTATTATCTACACTAAAGAGAGAGGAGTGAGTTTAGGGCTGGTTTGGTATTGATGTGCTTTGAAAAAAAACTGCTTCTGCTGTGTTGTGAGAATAAGCAGCTGTGAAATAAAGTAGCAGAGTGTTTGGTAAACTTTTTTGTAAAAGTACTTTTGAAAAAATAAACAGTATTATAGTGTTTGATAAACTTTTGTGTAAAACTATTTAGTTAAGAAAGATTTTAGTCCTTAAATAAAAATTCAAGCCCCAAATTCTTAGCTCTAAAATTGCCGAAACCATCTGGTACACCAAATTCAAACTTCAACCATGAAGTTGTTCTAGAAAAAAATCCACTACATTACAAAGATTTGATTCAACAAAATTTAGTGTAATGGGTAATGCTAGAGAAACTAGATTTGTAGACAAAATTTGCAAAACTAAATAGCATGGAACCTCATGATTTGCTTATTATTTAAGTATTGATAAACGTGCTCATTTCTTATTGATGACATATTATTTAGTTTGCAAATTTTGTCTACAAATTTAATCTCTCTTTACCTTAGTGTAATTTAATGCGTTGACGCATGCTAATAAGAGTCTAGTATATCAAGATCACAGAATGACGATATCTAATGATCGACACGTGCCTTGAACAAACTTTGATCTGAGTTTTCCTTGTATTTCTTTTTGAAGATATTAATTAGATCTCTACATATATAGCTAAGTGTATATAACTAATTAATCAGCCTCTCGACACCTGTGTATATGCAGGCAGAAGCAATTTACTGCCCGTCCCCCTCACACGTATTAATGGAAAAGATAACCTGAAATTTAATGTAAGTATTTTTACATCCCATCGTATGTGTTCTTGTCGTAATCATACGCATGTTTATATGTAAAATGATATCTAAATTTAGTAAAACACAATCATAGTACTCAACAGAAACCAGGCAAAACGTGTCCTTTAATGTTTCTCTCCATAGTCAGCTAGCTGTGGGTACAAAGCCTTAACATAGCAAATTGATGGGTCTGCCAGCATGCATGGCCCGAGTTTCTAATTAAGTTCTAATTAAGGTCTAATTCTCACCCAACTTGACCAATAAGCATCCTGTGTTGATATATTTTGAACAAGAAATGCCAATTAAATTAACTATTACATCTAACTTACGTACATACGTACGCATAATCAAGCACATGATTAAGGAAGGACAGTACTGTTCACAAAACTATCTATTAACTGTAACAAGGATCATAATTATAGACTTAGCTCTCATTTGGAAATCCTTTTAAAATAATTGAAAGTAGTGTTTTTAGAAATAATGTTTTTGAATTCTAAAAGCACTTGAAGTACTGTTTTAGGATTCGCATGAATTTTTTACTAAGGATTGGTTACAAAAATAATTTCACCAAAAGCATTTCAGTTATTTTATAAGCACTTTCAAATGAGCCATTAATCGGGATTCCCCCTTAATCTGCATATAAAACATTGGCTAGATAGCTTCATGAAATCTTTACATGCAACTATTCTTTTGAAAATTTGCATCCCTTTTGGGAACAATATTATCCCACCCTTATGCTGTCTTCGTGATCTTTCTTGCACCCTTTCCCTCCCCACAACTTAAATCTATTTATACCGAATAATTAATTTAAAAGTTTGCTTAATTATTTTGTACACTGCAGGAAGAATGCAAACACATGCAAGTGAGATTTACAGCAGCCTGGTATTTTATTGTGAAGTGTTTGACAAGTAGCATGTCAGACATGAACGTTGTGAGACTGGCTTAGGGGTTAGGGTTCTTCATCATTGTAGAGTGTCTTCTTTGATATAAATCTATCAACTACTACTTTAATGTTATCAAAGTCGACAAAGTCGTCTCAAAATTTCAATTTTCAAAAGTAAATCGTTGAGCGTTAGAGAATTTGATCAAACATGCATGCATCCTCTAATTAATCATGTATATGCCAGGTCGCTCGATTTATAATTTTTTTTACCTTGTTTGTAGATGCACGCAAACTTAAATAAATCTTTTAGTTTTGGTACATATATAATATGATAATTGGTTGCATAACTAGATGACTTGTTCCTCGAATAAATATTTATGTAATTACCAGAGAAACAACAGAGTAAATCAGTCATAACAAAAGCATAATCATTCATTCACATCCCCAATTTATTGAATAAACTGTGTGATATTTTTTTATTGATACAAAAACTGTGATTTTAATCGGCTCTATGCATTGTGATTCAAAAGAAGCTTTTCTCCTCTTTTGGAGCTTTATGAAATTGTCAAATTAACAGGATCTGCCATTTTTATAATAGACATTCATGAATGATCTTTGTTTTTTATTAATCTGCTTGTGCGGAAGTGACTCATGAAAGTTCAATTCAAAGGTTTTCAAGGCTTTGGGCATGCATATGATGTATTCCTGTGTACAGTGTAGATCCAACACATTAAGTTACATTTAAATACTTGCATCATTCGTCGTCGTTTCCTTGAGTAGGAGAAACTCTAAAATCATGTATATGCATATTCTGTTTAGTCTGTATCATCTCTCTCTCTCTCTCTGAGTTCAATCTATTTACGCAATCCTTTTTTACTCCCCCATTTTTATTAGAAAGGTGATGAAAGAACTTATACGGTTGGGCCATAATTCAAGGATCGAGCAATATCATGGTTGCGCAGGTGCAAGTCTTTTGTTCAGGACCGGTTTCCGGCTGTTGTGAATCTCATGTGAAGTTTTTGGCGGTAGGAAATAACTGGACGGTCTGCTTCATATGAGCACCATCACCGAAGAAAAGTGTAAATTCCTTTGTATCATCTTCAGACAGTGAATGCCGTTGTTTGTACAGTTATTGTTTAGGTTAAACAAGTGTTTTATCCCAGTCGAAAAATTAACAGCCCTAAGCTCTCGTCTACTCTCTTTCTTAAACTCGATTTACCAATGGGAAGTTTCTCTTGGTGGGGTAACTGGTAGAATTCACTCTTTCTATGGGAGAAGTAAGGGGATGGCAAGTGTATGTTTTAAATTAATCACGTTGTGTCATGTGAGAAAGTTGGAACAAATGATGATGATGGTCGAGGGATAGGTTTGATGCACTGCCACTTTGGCATGGGGTTTGTTGTTGAATTTCGGTATTTTAGCAAATTAGGGATAAAAAAGCCTTGCCCTTTGCTTTTAGGGTGTGTTTGTTTGCTCTCACTAAGTTTTATTGGACTGGACTAGACTAAGAGTTAGTGTAGTCCAGTGTTTGTTAACAGAAGGGACTAACTTTAAAGAGATTAGTTGGACTCGCATGGACTAAAGAGCTCGCTAGGGGTTCTTAACGAGAGACCCCGAAAAGTGTCGGACTACTAAGACCGTTTCTGGGTTTTGCAGCTTCTCAAGAAATCCAAGCGTTCCAACCCCAAGTCACCTTAGTCTCTCACTCCCTTGACTCCACAATCCCCCACTCCCCTCCGGTTAACTCGTCGGGCTTTGTTGCAAGCTGGTTTCACCACTCCCTAGAAGCTGTTTGAAGATTCGACGACGAACAACGCGATGTCTCAACACATGATTCGGTCAAAAACACGAAGAAGGGGGAATTTGGGAATTGCAAAAACCCCAAATATGTTGAGAAGGCAAGAAGTGGAAGGGCAAAGAGGAGGGAGATTTGACTAATTGGGAGAAAAGAGAGCAGCAGCAGAGAGGTAGGGGTTAGATACAGAGTTTGATAGAAACAATGAAGATAAGGGAAATGAAAGTAAATTAAAATTAATATTTTATAATATAATATTTGACTGTTTTTGGTTTTTTAAAGTAAAAGTAAATTTAAAATGATAAAAAAAATATTTTGGGCTTTAAAATAATTTTAGTCCATAAATTAGTCCGGTACTGCACCAAACACTTCATTATTATTATCCTGCTTGGTCCAAGTCAAGTCAATCCAACTTAATCCCTTAAGCTAGTCCAATCTGAGATAATCTATGTAACAAATGCACCCTTAATTTCTAATTAATGGCTGGATATTTAAATTTATATCTTATTCCATGGATAGTGTGGGGATGGGACATGGGTCCTCTCTGGATGTATATATCCTAATCCACCAAATCCATGTATTCAGGTTGTTGAAATTTGATCAAACGATTAAAGTTATTAAAATTTTTAAAAGTAAGCCTTATTTGTAACCATTGAATCAAATTTCAACAATTTGGATACATGGATTTGATGAATTATGATACATGGATCGGGAGAGGATCCATGTCTGTGGGGATGTATGATACTTTTCTAATGGATTTGACATTTCTCCCAGCAAAGCAACAAAAGTGTTGAACCAATGAAAAAAGTTGATTTACTTTCACAATTCTTAAAATTTTAACTCATTCAATAATAGTAAATAGAGGGATAAACATTACTATCACTTGAGAGGATGAGCAAAAATGTTTCGTAAAATATA